ACAAAAAAAATTCAAAGGCAAGTGGAGGACCTCATGGAGAAAGGCTATGTTCGAGAAAGTTTGAGTCCATATTCTGTACCAGTCATATTGGTGCCAAAGAAGGATGGAACTTGGCGCATGTGTGTGGACTGTAGAGCCATCAATAAAATCACTGTAAAGTATCGTCATCCTATTTTTAGGCTAGATGATATGCTTGATGAATTGCATGGTTCTTGTCTATTTACAAAGATTGATTTGAAATATGGATATCATCAAATTAGGATGCATGTAGGAGATGAATGGAAAACAGCTTTCAAAACTAAATTTGGATTGTACGAATGGCTTGTTATGCCTTTTGGGTTAACTAATGCTCGTAGTACATTTATGCGCTTAATGAATCATGTTTTGAGAGAATACTTGGGGAAGTATGTTGTTGTGTATTTTAATGATATTTTGATTTATTTAAAGAATTTGCTTGAGCATGTAGAACATGTTAGATCCGTTTTGATTACACTTAGAAAAGAGAGGTTTTATGCTAATTTTAATAAGTGTAGCTTTTGCATGGAAAAGGTTAACTTTCTTGGCTTCATAGTTGGTAAAAATGGAGTTGAAGTTGATGAAGAGAAAGTTAAGGCAATTAGGGATTGGCCAACACCAAAAAATGTCAGTGAGGTTCGGAGTTTTCATGGTCTAGCTAGCTTATATAGAAGGTTTATAAAGGACTTTAGTACCATTGCTGCACCATTGAATGACTTAGTGAAAAAGAATGTTGTTTTTGAATGAGGGGAAATGCAAGAGAGAGCTTTCAATGAACTTAAGGGAAAATTAACCAATGCACCATTACTTGTCTTGCCTAACTTTGATAAAACTTTTGAAATCGAGTGTGATGCAAGTGGTTTGGGCATAGGTGCTGTTTTGATGCAAGATGGAAAGCCCTTAATATATTTTAGTGAAAAACTAAATGGGGCTTCGTTGAACTATCTTACCTATGATAAAGAATTGTTTGCTTTAGTTCGTACATTGCAGGTATGGCAACACTACCTGTGGCCGAGAGAGTTTGTTTTCCACACCGATCATGAAAGCTTGAAGCATCTTAAAGGTCAAAGCAAGCTAAATCGTAGGCATGCAAAGTGGGTAGAGTTTATTGAAACATTCCCCTATGTTATCAAATATAAGCAAGGTAAGGACAATGTGGTTGCTGATGAATTATCAAGAAGGTACAATCTCCTTACTTCTCTTAGTGCAAAAATTCTTGGATTTGAGCATATTAAGGAGTTATATAGAGATGACCATGACTTTGGAACTATTTATGTTTCTTGTCTTGGTGGGAAAGCTGTGGACGATTATTATGTGTTTCATGACTTTTTGTTTAAAAAAAGTAAGCTTTGTGTTCCTAAATGTTCTATAAGAGATTTGCTTGTGAAAGAAGCCCATGGGGGTGGATTGATGGGACGTTTTGGGATTCATAAAACTTATGATATGTTGCATGAACATTTCTTTTGGCCTAAGATGAAACATGATGTGCATAAGGTTTGTAGCCAATGTTTTAAATGTAAATCGGCTAAGTCTAGATCACAACCAAATGGTTTGTATACTCCCTTGAATGTACCTAATGAACCTTGGACTAATATATCTATGGATTTCGTTCTTTGTTTGCCTCGAACTAAAAAGGGTAGAGATAGTATTTTTGTTGTGGTGGATAGATTTAGTAAAATGGTTCACTTCATATCATGTAACAAGACACATGATGCAAAGCATGTGGCTGACTTATTCTTTAGGGAGGTGGTAAGGTTGCATGGCATTCCTAGAACTATTGTTAGTGATATGGATGTTAAATTTCTAAGCCACTTTTGGAAGGTGTTGTGGGGTAAGTTGGGTATTAAATTGTTGTTCTCAACTACATGTCATCCTCAAACTGATGGGCAAACCGAGGTTGTTAATAGAACATTGGGAGCATTACTTAGGACTATTATTTCTAAGAATATTAACTCTTTGGAAGAAAGTTTGCCATTTGTAGAGTTTGCATATAACAGGGCAATTCATAGTTGCTGGGTGTGTTGCCCTAAACTCGTAGTTTGTATTTTGTAAAAATAAATGTCTATTTACTAAAGTTTTATTCAATAAATTTGTTGTTAAATCATAGCTTTGCATTATTCAAAATCCAATAAACTAAACATCCAAGGTTATTTGTGATGTAATCGGGACAGTATATATACTGGGTATATAGTTGATATACGCGGTATATATTTGATATACCCCTGGTATATGAATGGATAATGTCCCGTGAATAACCTAAAGGGTCTATCGTATATGGATAAGGTTGGGTACCTTATCCTGGCAACACTATGGATACGTCCCACTCTGTAAAGGTTACAGACGACCCGATCCAGGTCGTTCGTGTGGAGACATGCGAGTGGGGGTATCCTATACAATGAGTTTGTGTAAGACCGGACCACGAAATAGGCAATCTTTAGATGTAACACCGTTAACTAATAGGTTGCTATTTCTTAAGATAACCAGGCAACTCATTCTCAATCCTGAGGAGTTATGGACTCCTGCCCGTGAAGGCTCGTCCTTCGATCTATATGGGTGAGAGTGGCTCGAGTCGCCGACTCAACATTCCTACCATTTTGGGGATGAGACCGAGTGGGGAGCTGGGAACATAACTTCACAGGATCGAATTCACTCCTCCCCGACTTTAGGGGAGTAGATGAGTGTTCCCTTAAATGCTGACTCCGGGACTTAAACAAGGGGCCGCACCCTCTCATTGGCCGAGACGGACTTCCGGTTATTAGTTGGACCATAACAGGGTTGTTCATTAGAGGAGCAGTGGTGTTTAAGCAGTAAGATGTAACTCAGGGGTAAAACGGTAATTTGACCCAACTTGAGTTACAAACACTCGTGAAGGATTGACTCGTCATTAATGGTCGTATATCCATGGACACGGAAACATTCTGTAGTGAGAAGAGTGCAACTGTGGGTCTTTAGTGGAATGACCCGTAGTTAACGAATCTAGATTAACTCGGTCAATGAGTTTGACCGATTAATCTTGCATCGTTGGAGCTTCGGATCTGTAGGTCCATTAGGTCCCTTTGCTAGCTCATAACGGGTAAAACGAGGATCAAGTTTTTGGAAGAATTTGAATTGTTCAAATTACTTAAGTGATTATATGTATATTGATACATTATAATATATAGTCAATTATAAATTAAAACTATATATTATCAGAGAAATTATTTGAATGAGATTCAAATAAAATTAATATGAATAAGATTCATATTAAAACTATAGGTTAAAAATAATGTGCATAAGATGTACATTAGAACTATAGGTTATACGAGTGAAATGTTATAGAATATGATTCTATTTTTGTGATAAATAATTAAGTGTTAATTATTTATTTGATTTATATATATATATATATATATATATATATATATATTAATTATTAATTGGATTAATAATTAATTAATTATTAATTAATATGATTAATTAATAAATTAATTTTATATTTTAATTATTGTATATATATATTATATATATTAATTATTTATATAAATATATATATATATATATTATTAATATTAATAATATTAAACTCCCCTACAAAATTGCAGGGGAGTGCGAGGTTAGTGTGACGTGGGGAGTTACCCCACGTCACTGCTTTTGTTTTTTGCAATTCTGTAAAAATACAGAACAGAACAGAAGAAGGTCTCCTAAGTTTTTTTGCTCTCTCGATCAAGCTCTTTCTCTCGATTTTTTCCCTCTCGTTCCAAAGGATTGCTCCCACCAGCACGATYCTAAGACCCAAGAGGATAGTGAGGAGACATAGTGGTGGTGTTCGAGAGAAACTCGTTGAAGAAACGTTCTTCAAAGGTAAACATTAAACAATTTGTGATAAATAATTAAGTGTTAATTATTTATTTGATTTATATATATATATTAATTATTAATTGGATTAATAATTATTTATTTATTAATTAATATGATTAATTAATAAATTAATTTTATATTTTAATTATTATATATATATATATATTATATATATTATTTATTTATATAAATATATATATATATATTATTAATATTAATAATATTAAACTCCCCTGCAAAATTGCAGGGGAATGGGAGGTTAGTGTGACGTGGGGAGTTACCCCACATCACTGCTTTTGTTTTTTGCAATTCTGTAAAAATACAGAACATAACAGAAGAAGGTCTCCTAAGTTTTTTTGCTCTCTCGATCAAGTTCTTTCTCTCGGTTTTTTCCCTCTCGTTCCAAAGGATTGCTCCCACCAGCACGATCCTGAGACCAAAGAGGACAGCGTGGAAGACATAGTGGTGGTGTTCGAGGGAAACTCGTTGCAATAAACGTTCTTCAACAATTTATTAGTTCAATAAGTTATTGATATATAATTTTTTTAAAGTTCATAGATCTATTAATTAAACCCAATATTGAAACTTTAAACAACTTAACTAATTTAGCATCAAAATATATAAACTATATACAAATCAATGCATTCAAATTATTTTTACACAATCCCCGAACATAAAGTTTAGATCTACAATTTATAATTATAATATTTGAGACCATGTTCGTGTACCATATTTACTGCTTGTATATAAAACCCCTCCTGAAATAAATTTCTTGATCCGCCACTGTCTACAAGTAAGGTTCATTTTATTAAATTAAAGAACAGTGTATATAAATAATAAATAAACATGATTTGATTTGAGTTAGTATTTTGTTATTAGAATATCCTTATCAAATTAGTAATTTAAGGTTAAGAGGTGGCTAACAAATAATAAATGACTTATTAATCACGTGTTTAATATTGTAAAAATCAATTTTCCATGTCGTTTTCTCCACAGAATTTGTCCTTTAACGTCGTCGTTTCCGATGGCTATTCAACATCCAATGAATTCAAAATTGCAACTCCATCAATTTTTTTATCAAAATAACCTTCTTTAAAAACTACCCCTTCTCTTATTCTTCTTCTCAATCCAAAACACAATTCATTCAAATGAGTACAACGAGTTCCCTACCTTGCCTCTTCTTCATCGGAGCTCTCCTACACGTTGTCGTCGGCGTTGACAACCAGATTGGAGGCGATTTCGGTTGGAACCTACCCCCGACCCTCACCTTCTTCTCCGAATGGGCTCGTAATAGTACTTTCTTTGTCGGCGATACGCTAAGTAATTACGCTACACATGCATGCTTTTATATGGTTTTTTTTACCTTTTTTTTTTGGTAATTAATATTGAACATTACTTTTGTTTGTTGATTTATTGTATGTAGGAATGTATGTGTTTTTTCTTTTCCTTTTTTTTTTCCTATATATAGGATTCATACCTAGAGCGAACGAGACTCACACTTTTGCCGAATCACAATCTCAAGCGGAATTTGATGGATGTGTCAAGGAAGGATTAGTTTTCGATTCTACGATTTTTATTACCTTAGATCGCCCTGGTCGTCGTTATTTTATGTATACTGATGGAAATCATTGCAACATGGGCATGAAATTTGCCATAGACGTTTTTCAACAATCGGGAACTGGAACGCCAAGGCCAAATGCCGCAGTCAAAGTCGGTGCATTGCCCATGCTTTTCTTCACCACCATGTTTATGGCTATTTTGTTTTTCTTTATTTGATATATGGCAGTTAAGTCCAACAGATTTTTTTTCAATATTATTATTCTTATTTATTTTTTTTTTTTGATTTCTCCAATATTTTTTTCTTAAAATCTAATAGTTTGTAATAAGATTGTTAATTTTAATTTACCATGTCAATAGTTGTTTTCTTTCGTGATATATTTTGTACGACTGCATGAATGATCAAAACAAATAAGACGTTTTAAAAAATGGTCAAACATACAATATATTTACAAAATGGTTAATTGGCCTTTTTAGAATCCTAAATTTTATTTTCGACAAATATACCTCTATAAAAAATGACTTTTATTTGCTTGATTTTAGAAATCTGTCTAGATACAACAACTAAGAGAAACAAGAGACCTTAATTATGTTGGGAATCATCTAATAATGAAGAATCAAAATCAAACAACTAAATTTAAGTAAATCTATTTAAAATTTGATATCATAGATTTTGAAATTTTCATTTAATACCAAGATAGTTTTTTTAACATTTAATTTCTAAGGTTTTAGTTAAAATTTAAAATCTAATTTAAATTGGAAACTTTTAATTGAGAATATGGGTGGGTGGGTTTTTAGTTGTAGTCACACAACTTGGTTTCATGTCGTCCATTCTGTCATTTCATTCGCAATTGTGTCCAATTGTCATCCATCTTGCCGCAGTCGCTATTCACCGTTCACCTTTCGGCATTTGACTGTTTCACATCCCTGTCTAGCACCCCTTTCCACTTAGTTCCACATATTCGACCAATCGATACTACTGCCTAGTGTCACGGTCATACTTTTTTCAATTGCACGATGCCATGATCTAAGAACAATCATGACCAGTCTTAAGGAGAACTCTAGCTCCAATAAACTTTTCACATCTTGTGTGACTTCGTCAAACCTTAGGCGACGTTCTTTCTTCCTAGACTGAGCTTCACTGCAGGCGGAATTTTACTTGTCTCGGCAATGCATGTTGCCTCTATGTGTATATAAACTCTTTCACATTTCTAGCTGGCTTGCCTCTACTCTAGCCCAAGTCCCACGACTCAGCCTTGCCTCTAAACTAGGTCAAGGTCTTCTAAACTCGATGTCGCAACTCAATTCCCACCATCTTGGTTCTCGCCCGTTCGGCCCTCCCACTTCTACACTAAACCAAGACCAAAAGGAGTTTTGACCTTTAACCGGGTCTAAACTAGCTTAAAACACTTACTGAGTACTGTCGGGAGATTCCTATCACTTATCGGTCCCACCGGACGCCTCCAAGACCATTCTTGTTGAGAAATTGGATCATAACGGGCTAAATAGCCTTACCAAGTATTGCTAGGATGATTGCTGATAAGATTCTGTCAAAGAATGACTAAACTTTACAACCGGGATGAGTCTTATCGCTTATTGGGCCAAGACTAGCTTTTTCTCACTGCTGGGTGCCCATCGGTACATTAGGATGCCACCCCGAGCATCAAGATGTCATCGGGCATCGTTGCTCACTCGGACATGCTTATCGAGAACTAACCCATGGATTCGTACTTATGACCGGGGCCTTCTAAACATCCATCCAATTGGACATTATCAAGGCATGACAGATCTCGTGCCCATGCTACCTCACTCATCCCAGACAATGACCCTATGGTGCAACCTCCAACCTATGGGGACGAGGTGCACGGCACACTCGTGCCGCCCGACATTTTCCTTGAGTTTCCCATTTTCAAATGAAGTTGCCCAAGATACTCGTCTAGCAGATGCTCGCTCTCGCCATGACACATGCATGTACCATGGGGTAGCTCACTTAGTCCACATGGCCCAAAGATGGTGGAGAACTAATACCATGCCTCCCCCTATATGTTGGGATTTATGGCCTAAAGCCTTGTAGTTAATAAATATTTTATTATTTATTGAAAAATAAGTATTTAATTATTTTGATTATATGCATTATTTATTATCCATTTTTATTAAAATACAATGTTATAAATGTAATCTTGAACAATATGTAGTTGACATACAAAAGGCATTGGGTTTGGTGTCCTTGGCTCGTGTATTTGTAATTTATGAACAAATTATTTATTCAATAAAGAGTTGTCTTATTATTCATTTGCATTACTCGTATTCCAATAAACTAAGATCCAATGTTATTTAATGTAACTAGAACAATGTTATATTTAATTATATTCAATAAAGTTTTGTTTTTCTTATTCAATCAATTTATTGTTGAATTTACAACATTGCATTGTTCAAATTCAATAAACTAAACATCCAAGGTTATTATCATGTAACCGGGAATACTAGGTATATATTTGATATACCATCGATGTACAAGTGGATAATGTCACGGAAATAACCTAAAGAGTCTATAATATATGGATAAGGTTGGGTACCTTATCCTGACAACACTATGGATACGACTCACCTTATAAATGTTACAAACGACTCGATCCATGTCGTTCATGTGGAGACATGCGAGTGAGGGTATCCTATACAATGAGTTTGTATAAGACCAGACCGCGAAATAGCCAATCTTTAGATATAACGCTGTTGATTAATAGATTGTTATTTTATAGTTAGACCAGGTAACTCATTCTCAATCTAGAGTAAGTTATGGACTCCTGCCCGTGAGGGCTCGTTCTTTGATCTCTATAGGTGAGAGTTGCCTGAGTCGCTGACTCAACATTCCTACCATTTTGGGGACGAGATCGAGTGAGGAGCTGGAAACATAATTTTACAAGATGGAATTCACTCCTCCCCGGCTTTAGGAAAGTAGATGAGTGTTCCCTTTAGTGCTGACTTCAGGACTTGAACTAGGGGCTCCACTCTCTCATTGGCCTGAGAGAGACTTCCGGTTATTGGTTGGACCATAACCGAGTTGTTCATTAGAGGATCAGTGGTACTTAAGGTACAAGATGTAACATAGAGGTAAAACGGTAATTTAACCCATCTGTTTTTACAAACACTCGTGAAGGATTGACTTGCCGTTAATGATCGATATCCGTGGACACATAAATATTCTCTAGTGAGAAGAGTGCAACTACGAGTTTTTAGTGTGGTAACCTACAGTTAACGTATGTTGATTAAGGTGGTTAACGAGTTTAACCAATTAATCTCGTAACGTTGGAGCTTCTGATCTATAGGTCCATTAAGTCCCCTTGCTAGCTCGTAAAGGGTAATTAAGAACATTAAGTCTCGGATAGAATTTGAGTTGTTCAAATTTAATTAAAGGGCATTTGAGTCAATTGTGTATGACATAATTAATATAATGTATGATGATGCATTATAAAACTAAATATTGTGAGAGAATAATGTGAATTTGATTCATATTAAGACTATAGGTTAAAATTTAATGTGAATTAGATTCATATTAAATACTATAGGTTACGAGAGAAATGTATATTTGAATATGATTCAAATATTAACTTGATTTATTTAAATGTGATTTAATTAAATTAAATGTGATTTAAGTAAATTAAATTTATTTAATTAATTAATTAAATAAGATTTAATTAATTATTAATTAAATTAAATTAGTTATTTAATTTCTTTATTCATTAAATTAAATATCATGAAATATATAGTAAATTAATTAATTAGATTAATTAATTAAATTAATTAAATACATAAGTAATTTTACTGGGAAGTGGTAAGGTGCCTTACTTCCCTCCTACATTCAAATCACAATACTTTTATTGTGTTCTGGATAATCAGTATTTTTCGTGCAAACAAAAAAATTTCTCTCTCATAATCACAAAAATTCTTTGTTTGTTAAACGAAAGAAAATCAACTCCCACAATTATCATTAATTTAGATTAAAGCTAATTGTGGATCTCGATTATTTGTTTATTATTGTATATGATTCTTCTCCTTAATTGTGTAATTAGCTAAATTAGCTTTGTGCCTTCTTTATATAGTGCACCCTTGTACACTAAGATAATACACAAAAATATATTCTTGCATATTCCATTTGTTTATGGTATCAAGGCAGGTTTCTTGGTGTCTTTAGCCCTACACCTTCCAGCACAAGCTTTAACCAAATTTCTATTCATTCACCAACATGAGTGACACAAGTGAGAAATCACAAAAACCACAACAGTAAGGTGTTGTGGAAAAAGGGATCAAATTCTCAAATCCTTTATTCTTGCACCCTTCAGACACACCAGGCCTTGTCTTGGTTATTACACCACTGGACGGACACAACTATGGATAATGGAGTTGCTCAATGCATCTTAGTCTCAGTGCCAAAAACAAACTTGGCTTTATTGATGGATCTGTGAAAGCACCAGCAACAACTAATGAAAGATTCTCAATGTGGAAATTCTGCAATGACGTGGTAATTTCATGGATTCTTCCACTCAACTTGACATAGCTCGGAGCGTTATTTTTTCAGATACCGTAGCTGAAGTTTGGAGCTAACTTCATGACAGATTTTCACAAGGAGATGAATCGAGGATTTATCAAATACGACAAGAAATTGCCGAATATCGTCAAGGATCCCTTTCAGTCTCAGCTATTATACCAAACTCAAAGGGCTTTACGATGAATTGGGATCTTATCAAGAACGCATTACATGCACTTGCAACCTGTTAAAGGAAGTTACCATTAGATAGGAAAAAGAAAAGGTAATGCAATTTTTAATAGGACTTAATGAAGATTATTCTCAGGTTCGTGGATCCATCTTGATGATGAGTCCACTTCCGGATACTCGAAAAGTTCATGGACTCATCCTTCCACAAGAAAGGTAAATGGTTCATGGATCTATCTTATTCTCAGGTCTGTGCATCGGGAAACTCCACCATTATCTCATGCTATGTAGGTTGCAAAGCCAAAACAGGCAACCAATCATTATTCTAATCGCAAAGACTTGCAATGTACTTATTGTGATAAAGGAGGACATTCAGTAGATCGTTGCTATTATTTGATTGGATTTCCAATGGGCCACAAATGACATGGCAAACATATGAAGCCAAGAAATAGAAAAGCAGCAGCTCACAATGTTGAGATGAAAAAGGAGCCAACCAATGAAAGCCCAA